CAGGTCGATTCTTCCATCTTGTTTTTTGTCCTTAAATTGATAGAAGTGTTTTTTCTTGAACCTACATTTGTATACCTTATACAAATTTCCAATTGTCCTAAGAACCCAAGTTTTAGCATCATCGGGCACATCATATTTTCCCTTAAAAAAATTAGTAATTAGTAAAAGGAAGGAAAATAAAAAAGGATAGAAGAATAAAGCTACCTAAAAACTTACCAATACATACTCCCATATCTTATCTTTATGTGGAACTTTGTGCCATGAAGTACATGTCAATGGTGCATAACTATGGGTACGAGCTATTGTACCCAAAAACCGAGAGAATTTTCCTACTACATCCTTCCCCTCTATTATCGGTCCAACGGGTTGTCCATATTCATTACATATAATAACCTCACGTTGATTAACATTTCGTGTGTGAACGGAATGTAACATTGTTGGTCCTCTTTTCTTGGGTGTAGAAATTACTACATTCCAACATAGAATTATATATATATATATATATATATATATATATATATATATATATATATATATATATAAACCAAAAGCATGATCAAGTAGTGAAGTTGAACCTGTTTCCTTTTCTAATTGGGGTTCTTCTAATTGTTCTTCAAAAAGTACATCATCCTCATTTCCCAAATCGTCATCGCTATCATCAACTTCAATCTCATTTTCAATATTTGCATAGTTCAAATGGTCCATGTCTTCATGGTCATCATTTTGATCAACATCATCTTCTAATTAAGGAGTAAATATAACAGCAATAATAAATAGCAATTACAAAAAAATATAACAAAAAATGAAATATTCATTAAACTAAACGAAAGTACCTTCACATTGCGCAAGACGTCCTTCATTAACATTATCTTTCAAACCAAATTGCTCCATATCAGCTGCAATAACATCAAAAATCGTAGAAACGTAAATTAATATAACATGTAGTTTTATGAGGTGACTTTGTTATTTCTCATTAATTAAATAAACATTTAGATTGACAAGATACTACCTTGAGATATCTCATCATCCTCATCCTCATCAACAAGAGCCAATTGTCTCGTTGCTCCACTTATGATACAATTATGCTTTTCCGCATTTTGTTTGAATACCTCTCTTTCCCTTTGCGGTCCTTTATTCCTCAAGATTAAGTCACCCATACTAGTCTTTGATCTAGATTGTTTTTCTTTAGTTGCATTCGAAACCAATGGATACTTATTCGAGACATTTGGAGCAATCACCCGACGTTGCCTTGTTAAATTAGCAAGTCTATTCATGGACATTGGTGCAATATATTGTGGACGATGTTGCTGTAACAAATTTACTTTTCATTATTAAATATCAACATCAAAATAAAACAATTACAGATTTGCTAATATGATTACCTTTTGGATACTTGAACACTTCTAGCAACTTCGTGGTAATCTCCATCAATATCATCACCCAAATCAGGAATATAGTCTGAATCTCTAGCACCGATATACGTTGGTTTCACTTGTTTTTTCTTTGGTTTTTGACTTTCTACCAAACTTGTCAAAGAATTTGCAATGCTTTTAACTCCCAAATCTTTTAGTCTTGCTTGGTTTTCTTTTATCCTCAAAAGTCTATTCTTCTCATAATCATTCATTTCTTTTTGTGCACTTTGATCTTGCTTGTTTTTTTTCCCATTATCGGCCTGCTCAAAAGTGACATTATCAATTTAAGTTCAAAATACATAATAATAGCATTGTAGTATCACTTACATGTAATTTTTTCCTACAATCATAAAATTAAATAAAAAAAGAAACAAGAAGCTGACAAATAAGGCACAATGCAACTCCAGTACTTACGATTAAACTGAATCGAAAGGAACCTGCAAAACAACCACACATGCACCTCTAATTTAAAATCTAAAAAAAGGTAAAAATAAAAGACATGAAAATTATTCCACAAAGATAAACATCACATTATAAAATAAAATCTATCAAATGTAGAAAAAAAAACTTTGTTTTTCAGTTACCTTCAAACCTAAACTTTCACAAAGTAGTGACTTATTATCACTTGCTTATTATTCAATGCATAAAATGACATGAAATAATTTAGGTAAACACAAAAAGTTTAAAGAATTAAACTATCTTATTACAAAAATGTAAAAGAAAAGTAAATATTAATATTATTGTCAGTATCTCAATGAGCCTCGTCTTCTTCTGCTTCCATCCAATCCCATAATGTATCGTCATAATCAGAATCGCCTCCACTGTCACTATTAGCTTCATCAGCCCCATCTAAATTTGTATTTGCATCAACTACAAGAGGAGGCATATCATGTCTTGACAATTGAATCTCATGTTCACCAACTTGTGCAAAAGAATTTAACCCATCCTCATTAGGCTCGGACCAATACGAGTCACCAATAGTTTCACTGCTTTCATCTTTGAGGTCATAGATATCTCTAGGAACCCTATTGAGAACATAATGCAAAAAGTCTTCTATAGGGTCTGCTACGTAGAACACCTGGTTTACTTGGGAAGGCATGACAAAAGGATCGTCTGAAGAGCAAAACTTATTAAAATTAACACATGTTAATCCATAATCATCTTTCTCTACTTGGTACCACTCACAACGAAACAAAACAACTTTGAACTGCGACCAATAGTCGAGTTCAAGTATATCCAAAATTCTACCATAGTAGTCAACATTCCCCATAGCTGGATTTTTGTCTCTAGAACTTGCAAAGCTAGGAGTTATAGCCGTAATAGAAACACCACTATTTTGAGTCTGGCATTTAGCATCTCGTGATTTGGTATGAAACCTATATCCATTGACATAATACCCGTGATATCTCTTTGAAGTAGGACTAGGACCCTTAGCAAGCCAAAAAATATGATCTGGAACATTATTACTTTTAACTTTCTCCTTTAACCAGTTGGCGAATTCATTACTATGGTTTTGGGCGCGTGCCCATCGACTTTTCTGTGGTTGGGTGTCAATATAAACTTTATGCTCACTGCATCATCACGTAGAAAAAAGAAAATTAAATGTGAATTAAGTTTTATCATACATTTAATTTGAAGAAATGAGATGCTATAAATTGATTACTTACTTGATATATTCATCAACTTGTGCACAATCAGAATTGAATAAGGCATAACGATGTGCTTGTTCCCTTAAAATAAGATCTAAAGTTATAAGCTTCCCTTTTCTTCGCTTTTTACCTCCAATAGGATGACCCTTATTGACAAATATTGGTCCACCAGACTCATGTTCTTCATCCATATCATCGACATCTTTTGAACCCCTATTAAGTCTTGTTTTTACTCCATCATGCATATAGCGTGAGCAAAAAGTCAAACATTCTTCAATCAAATATCCTTCTGCTATGGATCCCTCTGGACGACTCTTATTTCGCACATATGACTTCAACTTACATAGGTATCTTTCCATAAAATACATCCATCTATATTGAACAGGTCCTCCAAGTCTAACTTCGTTTACTAAGTGGATAGGTAAGTGCACCATTATGTCAAAAAACGTTGGCACAAATATTTTCTCAAATTCACACAATATTTGAGTTATTTCTAATTGTAATCTGTCAAGTTCCTCGGGCCTAATTACCTTGCTACACAAACTACGAAAAAAACCACCCAACCTAATCAATGGGATTGCAACATGCTTTGGTAATGATTTTCTCACTGCAACTTGAAGCAAGTAATGCAAAAAGATATGAGCATCATGACTCTTGTAACCCGAAAATTTCTTTTCTGAAGAATTAACACATCGGGCAATATTAGATGCACATCCATAAGGCAACTTTGCTTCCTTCAAAACACGACAAAAAATTGCTTTCTCCTTTGATGACATTGAAAAACATGCGTTGTGGAATATAACATTCTCACCATCTTCAGAAAGTTCTGGTTGAAGTCGTTCTTTAATGCCTAACTCCAAAAGGTCAAATCGAGCTTTTACATGATCCTTTGACTTTCCACTAATATCCAACACTGTCCCTACCACATTATCAGTTAGATTTTTTTCGATATGCATTGGGTCAAGATTATGTCGGCATTCAATAAATTTCCAATAGGGCAATTCAAAAAATATTGACCTCTTTTTCCATGGGCAATTACTATCATTTTTTTTCTTTTGTGTCTTCCCAAATATATTTTGAAAGCTAGACAACTCTCTCAAAGCTGCATCTCCTGATAGGGGTTTTGGATAAGGTCTTTTTTCAGTTTTACCATTGAAAGCACTTTTATTACGTCGCCATGGATGTAGAGCATCTAGAAACCTGCGATGATCCATATAGCATGTCTTCTTACTATGCTTCAGTTGGAGTGAACTGGTTTCATGATTACAACATGGACATGCGAATTTTCCTTTAGTTTTCCACCCTGACAACATGGAATAAGCTGGAAAATCACTAATTGTCCATGTTAAGGTTGCATACATTCTAAAGGTTTCATCTTTATATTTATCATATGTCTCTAACCCATCAACCCATAATTCTTTCAGCTCCTCAATTAAAGGTTGCAAATAAACATCAATGTTATTACCTGGTGAGTCAGGTCCAGGAATTAACAAAGACAACATAAAGTATTCGGGTTTCAGTGACATCCATGGAGGTAAATTATAGTTAACTAATACCACAGGCCAAGTGCTATGAGCAATGCTCATTGTTCGAAATGGATTAAATCCATCACTTGATAACCCTAACCTTACATTTCTAGTTTCTTTTGCAAATTGAGGATACAAAGAATCAAATTTCTTCCAGCTTTCCCCATCAGCAGGATGTCGTAAGTTTCCATCATTAGGACGTCCTTTGTCATGCCACGTCATATATTTAGCTGTTTCAGAGCACATGAAAAGTCTTTGGAGCCTTGGTTTTAAAGGAAAATGCCACACAACCTTAGCAGGAATATTTGAAGATTTTTTGAAATGCTCATTGACATGCTTGCTCGCTTGTTTCTCATCCATTTGTTTCCACTTAGAGGTATGACAGACGTGGCAGGTATCGTCTTCTTCATGATCCTTCCAGTATAGCATGCAATCATTCGGACATGCAGGAATCTTTTTGTAATCAAGCCCCAAATCCTTCATGATATTTTTAGCTTGTGTAAAACTAGCAGGAAGTTTTGCCTCAGGAATCACCTCTTGAAAAAGTTGTAATAGATCATTAAATGCTACATTACTTAGCCCATGAAGCGTCTTGTAGAGAAAAAGTCGGATGATGAAAGATAGCTTTGTGAAATTTTTACAACCTGGGAACAACTCTTGCTTTCCTTCTTCCACCAATTTATAGAACATTTTGGCCTCTTCATTTAAGCCTTCTTGAACCATACTTATTTCTTCTGCCACATCTCTAAACCTATCATGCAATAATTCATCAAAATTGTCATGCATACCAGCTCCATCATCGTCTATGGCGATATTAGACATAGATTGTGAGGATTTTTCTCCATGAAAAACCCATACATAGTAGTTTTCTACAAACCCATACCCTTTTAAATGGTCAAATACTTTATCCCTTCGATACCAATAGCGGTTCTTACATCGTTTGCAAGGACAACAAATTTGACCATCCTTTGCTACCTTAGCAAACGAGGCATTAAGAAATTCAATGACACCAGATTCAAACTCAGGTAACCGTCTAGGTAAATACATCCAATCTCTAACATTTCCCATGTCTCTCATACCCTGAAGTGAATAGAAACATTAAACTATAGTAAAGAGTAAAGATCTACTAGTTAGAAGCCAAATTGTTTATTGGTTAAGAAACATCAAAAGAACCTAGACGGTTTCACCAAATTTTGTATTGTAATCAAATACTTTTATTTTTATCCTAAAATAGTTTGCTGCAAGAACACTAATCGCCACTGCAAAACTATCAATCGCCGCCGCATTGCGCGGGTCTCCTACTAGTATATATATATATATATATATATATATATATATATATATATATATATATATATATATATATATGGAGTGTACAACTCCTAATGTAATGACATTGCTATGCATCCGGTTTAGCCATGGATTTTATCCGAGGGTATTTTGGTAGACTCGGTGAAATAAAAGGTTTGCATGTAGAGGGGCAGTTTTGGTATTTTTATTATGAAGTTTGTTACAACTAGATATTTACACTCTAATGAGTGACGATTATACAAGGGTATATGTGTGATTGTCAGTTTCAAATAGCATCATGCTTTCATTAGTAAGATAGGAAGCAAGCTTTTCCTGTGTTCGGAAGGAATATATATAGTATAACAGATCCTGCTCAATTAGTAAGATGGTGATCACTTTTATCAACGTTTCCTGATCGCACTACTGTTCCTGTTATACACTGCATCTATAACTTGACATCGGTAATACTACTACAGAACAAATAAGCATATTATGTGGAATTTGATATGACTATTTATTTGATCCAAAGAAAACATTGTAATTCAGAAGCATGCATCAACTTTGTCTTAATCTTCAATTTTGGAATGGACTTCTCCCATTTACCACAATCAAAGATTACAATTCTCTTAAGAGGGAGAGACCGTGTTGATCTAACAGGCCCAGACACATTTGAAATAATGCAATTATATAACTGCCATTTGGCTGTGCGTTTTGCCCAGAGGAAAGGGGAACTAATGGAACACTACAAATCTACAATAGATGATGTGAACCTGATCCCACATTGGAGGCTGAAGAAAGAAAACAGAAGCTGGGTTGTTGCATAAAAGGTGAGGGCAGGAGAATGGTTCACAGTTGAACTTGAATTCACGATGGATTTTTTTTGGGTATAAGTCCCATATATGTTGTAATGTTCTACTCCCTGTTTTAGTATTATGGTGTTTGGTATTGATTTATGGAGGGGCTGTTTAGTACTTATAACTTGAAAGCAGGG